TCACGGCATGTTCTGACATAGCGCTGTACTGACGACAATAGCTTGGGCCAATAATAGGGCTGACTGATTCGTGCGAAACGTTCGAGTGACCCCCAAATGTCCAGGCGTAGGCTCATCGGGGCACGCTTGTAATATTTCTTGCCGCATAGTTGCGGGAACGACAAGCAGAAACTTTTCACAGTTGGGCTTCAAGTTTCTCTTGTAGAGGACATTTCCTCCGAGGCAGAACGATGCGAGGCTTCGAGAAAATATACGAGGTACTTGGACATCAGCTCCTTTCAGGTGTTTGATGAGCGGGAGCTATCTTTGTCCGCATGTTGAATTTCGGCTATCTGAGAAGTCTCGACAACAGCCACAAATGGAAAGTCCTCTTCATCTGATAGTGCTGCGTCTGCAGGTGCCCGTGACAAACAGTCGGCGTCGGTATGCTTCCTGCCAGATCGGTATACCACAGTTATGTCAAATTCTTGCAGTCTGAGGCTCCACCTTCCTAGTTGTCAGGACGGGTCCTTGAGGTTGGCGAGCCAGCAAAGGGCATGGTGATCGCTGACTGCCTTGAATGGTCTACCATACAAGTAAGGCCGAAACTTACTGATGGCCCAGACGACCGCAAGGCATTCTTTCTCTGTAGGCCGGATAATTGGTCTCCGCCTTTATTAGAGTCCGGCTGGCATATGCTATCATCCTTTTCTTTGCCATTCTGCCACTGTATTAGGATGCATCCTAGGCTGATGTTGCTGGCGTCTGTGTGTATTTCTGCGTCAGCTGTTTCATCGAAATGAGAAAGGATTGGGGACTCTTGCAACCGTTTTCTTAATTCGTTGAAGGCGCTTTGTTGCTCTGTTTCCACTGGAAAGGTACATCTTCTCTCGTAAGTTTCGTCAAGGGTTCTGCAATCTGCGAGAAATTTCTGACAAATCGTCTATAGTAAGCACAGCAGGTCTAGGAATCTCCGTAATGACTTTTTGTATGCTGGCACCGGGAACCTTGCAACTGGTGGCTGTCTTTTCGGGATCAGGGCGCCCACCGTGGGCGCTGACAACGTGCCCAAGGAATCGAAGCTCTCCGAAACCGAATTGGCACTTCTCTGGCTTGATGGTTAAATCTGCCGAACGGATTGCTTCTAACACTGTTCGCAGGCCCTTGATATGCTCCTCGAATGTAGCGATGTAGATGGCCACGCTGTCAAGGTACACTAAGCAGCACTGCCACTTCAATCCGGAAAGTACAGTGTTCATCATGCGTTGGAACGTTGCCGGCACACAACAGAGACCAAAAGTGAGAGCCTTGAATTCATAGAGTCCTTCGGGGCAATAAAAGCAGTCTTCTCGCAATCACGTTCATCAACTTCGATCTGCCAGTATCCACTTTTCAGATATAGTGATGAGAAGAACTTGGCACACCGAAGTCTGTCTAATGTGTCGTCAATACGCGGGGGGGATATACATTCCGTTTAGTCACAGCATTTAATTTCCGGTAGTCGACGCAAAACCTTAGTGTGTTATCCTTCTTCTTGACCAATACTATAGGAGATGCCCACAAACTGCTAGAAGGTTGAATAACATCATCTTCAAGCATCTCCTGTACTTGATTCTTGATGACTTCCCTTTCTTTTGGTGAAACGCGGTACGGGTGCTGGCGTACCGGCCTGGTTGTCTCGTCTGTTACGATCCTGTGTTTTGCAATGGTCGTGCGTCGTACCTTTGAACTATTGGAGAAACAGCTGCCAAATTCCCGTACAAGGTGCTATAGCTGTTGACGTTGGATCACTGAAAGATTAGAATTTACAGATATTACGTCGCAGACATTCGATGTTTGTTTCATATCCGTTGACGTTGTTTCAAGGCTGCGTATTTCTGTGATTTCACAAACCTCATGAAGAAAGGCTAGTGGCTGTCCCCTTTGCGATGTGCTGGAATTCGTTCCCAAAATTTGTCAGGAGGATGTCTGCGTACCCGTTTCGTAGCTGGATAATCCCTCGTGCCACACAATCGCCTCTTTTCAGGAAAACATCCATGTTGCTGTCTGCCACACCTTCAGTAGTCACCAAATGTATCATTTCTGACTAGAACCATTACACTGCTCTGCAGCGGTACAGTCACATCATCATCGACGATGCGCAGTGGAGCGGTGTATTGCTCGTCTGCTCGAGCTACCTTTATAGCTTGTTCCGTCGAAAATGATGCGCTGGACCTCTGCAAATTAATAATGGCACCATTTGCTTGCAGAAAATTCATTCCGAGTATAACTTCTCTCGAACATACGGGCAGGACAACAAAGTCGCCAACGTAAGTGAAACCTCGTATCTCAACTCTTGCGGCGCATCTGCCGAGAGGCGTAATAAGGTGACCGCCTGCCGTACGTACTTGAGGTCCACTCCATTCGGTCAGAACTTTCCTGAGGCACTTTGCTAAATCGTAGCTTATCACAGAGTAATCCGCACCGGTATGTATTAAAGCCGTGAGCTTTAGCCTGTCAATTACCAACAACAAGTCTGAAGTTATGTTCCTATTACTGCACTTCTTTACCTGGAGACAGTTGTCGTCGTCGTCACGCTGGTGTCGTAGTGGAGGATCTTCGTATTTCGAATCACGAGCGGCCTCGCCTCCAGAGGTCGCCCACTTCAGTTTCCCGGGTTTGGACTAGGCGAACGATGCCTAGGTGCGTTTGGAAAGGAACGTGGGCTAGGCGTGCGCCGACGTAGAGGGGATGGTGACCGCGGTTGATGAGGACGATGCAGGTCGAAGCTCTGACATGAGCACAGGTATTTCTCGATGTCGGACGGCCTTTCGCTGTTTGGCGGACACTGGTGCGTTGACCGCAAATCCTCGAAGACCAGCTTGACGATATCGGCAAAACCGGTAAAGATGGCCAGCCTCTCCACAGTGGAAGCACAGGGGACTACGTTCCGCATCTCGCCATACATCGCTTTTCCGAGGTCTTGTCCCTGTCGGAAGAGGTGCGCTGCAAGTTGCCCCTACGATATGGCGCAGGCTGCGTGTTGTCGGTGCGTAAGTACCAGGTGTCTCGATAAGCGCACAGTGGACAGCAGGCCGCCTGAGCACCTTAGAATAAGTTACCGCGCGTCGTGTCGGTGGTGCATCCCTCTGCGGCTCCCGTATGGCCTGCCGAATTTTTTCTCGGACAACATCCGCAATAGACAGTTCCGGTGAAGCGGGTGGCTGCAGCTTGCGTAGTTCCTCCCTGACAACTGACTGGACGAGCTCCCGCAGAGTGTCAAGATTATCGACGTTTGCCGAGAAGACCCCTGCTAAAGTACAGGCTACGTCACGATTGTACTGCCAGGCTCTCTGCTGCAGCGTCGTTTCTATTGTTGTTGCTTCCGACCGAAACTCGGCAACAGTGCGTGGCGGATTGCGAACGAGTCCCGTGAACAGCCCTTGTTTTACCCCATGCATGAGATGACGCACCTTCTTGTCTTCAATCATGTTGGGCCAGCTACACGTCTTCTATGTACATAGCGACAGTCTCATTTGTGCGTTGATTCCATGCACGAAGAGCTGCTTCTGCCTTTTCCTGGCGATCATTGTTGCCAAACGTACACAGTAGCTGCCGCTGGAACTCTTCCCAGGACGTCAAAGATGCGTCGTGGTTTTCGTACCACACTCGCGCTGTGTCTTCCAAAGAGACGTATACATTGTGCAACTTGCCTGCTTCGTTCCATTGGTTTATGTTCGCCACCCTCTCGAAATGATCCAGCCAGTCTTTGGCGTCCTCGAACGGGTCACCGTGCAACACCTTCGCTATGACGGGTTGTTGATAATGAGCTGTAATGGTGCAACTTGGCTAGTCATGGTGGTGGCGTTTCTTGTTTCCGTCGCTGATGCCCTTGGCACAGGGGAAGTGGTCAAAATTTGGTGAATCACCTTCGAATACGGCGACTGATCCGTTGGTGCACCGGCGTAAGCTCCACGGCTTGCGGATGGTCAGGGCTTGGACTTCGCTCTCTCGTGGGGTTTGGAATCATCTACCCAGCACCTCCACCAGAAAATGTAACGAATGTAGCAGCCTTACAACAAGGATGTTTTATTGACACGGTTTATTAAGGGCGAACTTGTGCCCAAAGTGAACGACGCACAGCAATCAAGAAGATCCAAGGGCTGTAGTCCTCGTGAGCCTCTGCCTCGAGCACCCTCGTTCTCTTCTTCACGCGCGTTGGCTGTTCGGCGGAGTACCGGGCGCATGCAGGGCCGGCTCGTGCATTGCGGCTGGCTTTGTCACTTGTAGTCGTGCCGTTAGCAGTTTCTCTGGTTCCCGACGTCCGTGTTGCGCTGAGCAATGGCAATTTCCTGTGGCAATATGATATCATGACTTTGAAAACCATTGCAATATTTGTGTACCAGAAATACAATGTTTCTAATAACAGTCTGCTCCAAATTGAACTTTCATTGCTCCAAAGCACACCATTTGAATTCTCCAAATCTGCTCCAAATCTGCTCCAAAACACCATTATTCCTGCTCTCTGAGCTGCTTCAAAAGACTCAAACCCACTTCCAGCTCTGTTAAAATAAGGTGACAAACATAATCTAAACAAAGCTCAAACTTGGCCCCCACTAACCGATTGCTGCAATAATGGCGATCTTCACGAGCGTGCATACACTATGAGGAACAAAGCAGGAGGGTGGCTGGCCCTTTTGTCAACACGACTTTAAAAAGTTATGACAAAAAGCATTTCAGAGACGAATGGATCAGCATAACATTTTTATCGGCAGAATAAATTCTATATCTGACTACGTGCATGTGAAGTTTTTGTATTTCAGTTTCCTGCCGATAAGCTGTTAATTGTGCTTACACCGTCTACCTGTGTTTTCTCTTTTTATTTTTTGTCTCTGTTCATCTTCTGATGGTACAGTGCCTGGTAGAAACTCTCTTTTAGAATAGACTAGCTGTTTCGTGAACTATTGGTGGCTTACATCGCCATCGCAGTGGACTAAGTGTGTCTGAGGGACATATTTTTAAAGCCAACTCTTCCCTTTCAGCAGCAGCCACAGTGTGCAAGCGTTGCTCCGGCAGTGTCAGTCACATCGCACTCAAGCGCTGCCCCTCCAGCTATGGTAAGCCTCTGGCCAATTCATGCCTTCTAATAATGACTTTTTTCTGATGAGCACAAAGGGTGCTATCGCTACACGCAGGAAGCACCTTTTTTGATGCTATCATTGTGTCTGATCAGATCGTGTGTACATTGTAGAACATACACGGTAGAACCGGCATTGGCGCTATAATTAATGAGGTAAATTTCGTCATCAGCAGCCTGATTATGTCCCCTCAAGGATAAAGGCCTCTCTGATCGTGTGCCAATCAGCCTGCGTGCTTTCTGCTGCCACGTTATGCCTGAAAAATTCTTAATGTTGTATGCCCATCTAACTTTTTGTCACATTCTCATGTGTTTGCTTTCTCTTGGAATACAGTGGTTACCCTAAATCACCAGCGGTTAACGTGCCCGGCCCATGTCCATTTCTTTGCAATTACAATCTATCATATCCTTAACCTCCTGTCTGCTCTTTTACATTCTCTCAAGTTTACACTTGTCATTTTCCTTTCCATCACTCGCTGCGTCGTCCTACAGAACTTTTTGAGCATGGTCAGAAAACACTGCTGATCAGGTAGTCGAGGCTCCCGAAAACTGCAGCGAAACAATATAGCGCAGCACGCAGCCCGAATTCACAACAAATTCTGAAAATAACATAAATGTTGCTTTCTCTTCTCTCTGCAAATGACCCTGCAAGCTGAAAAATCACTCGTCACAGCTGCTGTATCAGCCATTGATTGGTTTGAGCACGGTGTGCTCGTTCGTTACAGGGGCCACTGCAGAAGGCTATGACTTGTTTGCGCACACTGAGAAGCCGTCATGAGGTGCACATGACATATTTTCTTTCCCGGTACCATCCCTCCCTGCATAGCTTCCAGTGGTTTCGTCTGGACGAGAGAAGAGAATGCAGTTGCAGCATGTGTCAAATCTTTGTAACGGTACTGGACAAATTAAAAAAGTGTTTGTGGTAGTGAATTTGTGAGGCAATAAGCCCCTTTAGCGAAATTATTCTATGGCTACTTGTAAAAGTGTTGCAGGGCCTTTCAGTTTAACCCTTTTTGTAAGCCTCCAGGTTTCTGCTCTACCTGCGAGATGCAACAGTTTATACCTTTCTCTTCAGGGATACAGGTAGACTGCCATTCATGATTCAAGAATGCTTGCCGAATGTGATCCACCCCATCCTTATTCTTCTAGTTATTTCACTCTTATGGTTTGGCTCCGCGATTATTATCTGCTCTAAGTAGACATATTCCTTTACAACTTCCAGTGTCTCGCCACCTATCGCAAAGCGCTTGGTTTAGTTCTATGTAAATTAATTTTCAGACCTACTCTCTGCTTTCAGTGTCCAGTTCAGTAATCATGATCTGTAGTTCGTCCTCTGATTTGCTTATCAATGCAAGGTCATCAGGGAATTGCAGGTGATTAAGGTACACTCTATAAAATCTTACTCTTAAAGGACACCTGACAACAAAAGTTTTGTTTGCGATTATTTACAGTGTGTAGTGTACACGTATCCCGAAAGAATACGGCCACTAGCGTGGGTCCAGCCTTAGCGAGCCGCAGGACACGCGTTACAGTGCAGTCCACTTATAACGATACCACATATAACGATATATCGGTTATAACGATGGGTCGACTTAACAGTCTCATTTTATGCATTGGGGCTATGGGGAAAAAAACCATATATAACGATATGTTATCCACCGCATATCGGATACAACGATGAAAAGTTTGCCGTGGACGGCATGTTTCATTCAGAATAATCGTAACATTTAGATTGATAAGTTCCTCTGAAACGAACTATGCCGAGACAAGACGAAAAGTTAGCGTAGGCGAGTACGTATGTATCTGCCGCCACTGCAGCAGAGCGCCGGCAGCGCGTCCCGGCCGTTCAAAAAGCCGAGGAGAGCATCGCGAGTTGGCGCGACGCGCTACAGATGGCGCCAGCTGTGTCACGTTTTGCGCCTCGCCGCGCGTCGACCGCGGAGAGGCTGAGAGAATTAAAAAAAAAATGCGAAAAGCAAAGCGCCGCGCTCCGCGGCTCCCCGCCTTCTACAACGGCAAGCCGGCAAGCTACTCGTAGCTTGCCGAACGAAAGCGGGAAAGAGAGAGAAAATAAAAAAGCGAAAAGCAAAGCGGCGCGGCGGCATCGGGGCGGGGCCTCGTTGGCATTCCGGCTGTGTACCTCTGGCTGTGCTTTCTTCCTCCCACTGCTCCCACCCCGCCGTCGGTCAGTCTCCCTTCCTCAGCGAACCCGTGATGCGTTCTTCGGAGTAAGAAATAAAGTCTTGTTTTTGACATCCTACTATCTACAATTACTATCTACAATACTACCTACTATTAATTGGTGAAAATAGCGAAATGAAGCCTGGAGCTACGGCAGTCCAGATATAACGATCACCGGTTATAACGATCATATTTTTAGGTTTTCTCGATATCGTTATAAGTGGACTGCACTGTAATTGTCGCCGTGGCAAAAACACAGTACGGCTCAAGGTCGCAACACTACATTGTCTGCGGCAACACCAAAACGCAGTTCAGAGCCCATTGCAAAAGGCGCGGCAGGAAAGCAAATAGGCTTATCTATGCCACGAACGAGAAGTGCTACACAGGGGTGCTGCGAACATGTCTCCGTGGGCAAAAGTGTTCACGGTGACACCGGGACAAAAGGGCCCGATCGCTCGAGCGATGGCAAAACTCCGCTCGCGTTGGCTTCCGAGAGGTACGGGTTGGCGTAGTTTGACCGTGCACTAGGACATCGCACCGCTCTTCGAAAAGGATGAAGCATTCGCCGCGGGCGCAAGGCGCCATTGGCGAAGTCTGAACGAGCCCCAAACAAAGGGAGCCAACGGACGCTAAAGAAATGCATGCCTACCCCACGTCGTCCTGGAGAAATTCTTTCTCTCTCCCGACGGCCGCACGCGATCCGTCTCGAGAGACATTGCGCACGGCGCCACAGTTGACATCGGCTACAGGGTGAGAGGAGTCAAGCGTCACTCTTCGCTTCCCCAGCGGGACAGACCACAGAGGAGGGGAGTCATGGGGACATGAGAATGGCAAAAAGATACGGCAAAGCCCGCTTAAGGGTGGCGGGCTAGCCTCGATTCCCACAAGTGATTTGTAGCTGTGCGTATAATAATGCCAAAATTTAATAGTAAGTGCTATAATGTACTATAAATTAATGCTAGTATCGTTAATTCAGAACAATTTTGCATCAGTTCAGAACTGCCTAAATACCATAAGAAACTAGCACCATACAGCGGGGCAGTGCCTGAAACTATGTGCGTGCGCTCAAGCTTCGGCAACTACAGTGATGCTGAATGCACTGTTTTCAAATAGGTGGACCCAAGGGTGGTGAACAATGCAAGGATGTAGGTGCTTTGATCTTTGAGCTTTCGTTCCTGGCGTAAGCTGCCGAAATAGAGCGAGAGTGGTGTCGAACAATAGACCTTTGCTGCGTGCCAGTTCGTGGTATTATGCCTGCCCCGCTAATGTTCTGTGATGCCAACAATACTTGCTTGACCTCTCCAACGTCCTGAGGGGACCCCTGTCTACATCGAATGAGAGAAAATACTTGGTTGAGCAGGCACCAGCCAAATTAAAATATCTTATAGGCAATGCTTATCATTAATAATTACGTCATAAGTGGCCTCGCATGCAGGACTATCGAACAACTCAAGCATTTTGAGTTTCCAAGTTCGGTGTCAGGGGTCCTTTAGCTCTTCCCTATCTAGGGCCTTGAAAACCTGATGTAAACGCTTATTGAATAGCATTATATAGATTGCATCTCCCTGCCTTACACCCTTCTTTATTTGGATTTTGTCACTTTCCTAAAAAAGCTTTTATGTATCGTAAAAACCAGGATATAAGTTGACCCCCCCAATTTCTGAATCTCTGAAAAAGAAATTTTTAAAAATAGGAAAGTATCGCAGTGCATCCCTCACCTTGGTAAATACAGTAGACTCCTTTTGATACGAAACCTGAAGGGACGAGGAAAATGTGTTTCCTTTAAGAGGAGTTTTGTTTACTGAGAGATAAGCATATTAGTGGCAGTTGTTCCATTTCAGCAGCGATTTCATTTAAGAAAGTTTCGTTTAATGGGAGTCTACTGTACACGACACAACCAGCTGCACTCTGGCGACATTTTTTTATTTTATTTGGACACTGATCTTATGTAGTTCTCCAGTGTCGGACACTCTTCTCCGACGCACCGAATTCTCGTTGTCCTGTCAGGTTGCCGTGCTCTTCGGCTACTCGATAACTTTTTTCTTAAAGCCTATCATAAACTTCCATCGACTACCGCTCATTTCTAAAGGAAAAAGAAAGCAGCAGACTGACAGCAGATAACCGAACCAAAATGGCCTTGCTAGAACACTGTAGTTCTTGCCTAGCCTTGCCCAACAGCACCGCTGCTGATACTCTTGATGGCAATAAAGGTTTCCGACTTCAGTTGCCCATTGTTGCGAGACTTCTACATTTTTTTCTGCCAATGACCGGTATATAAGACAAGGATGAGTTTTTAATTGTGTTTTTTTTTACTTTTCCACTTTAAGATAAAGGATTTGCAGCAAACAAGACACATGAAGTATTCGTATTTTAAAAACAACCTATTCTACAAGAAAAAACGCTGCATTCTTGAAATAAGAATGTAAAATTGCCAATTTTTATCAAAATATAGCAAGGAGAAGGTCCTGAAGGGCAGTGTGATCCTTAAAGGGACATTAAAGGGAAACAATGAATTGGTTTAATCTGATAAACTGTACAGTCGAAACCCGCAATAACGAAACCTCGCGACTGCGAAATCCCCGCGGCAACCAAATATTTCCAAATCCCTGGTGAACGTTCATAGAAGCCCATGTATTACGTATCTCGCGGCAACGAAGTATTTTTGGACAGCGATCCCGCATTAACGAATTTTCTACCACGGTGCGGGCCTTATTTTACCCTCCTGCCAAAGGTTAACTGTCGAAAATATGCTCGTATGTGTGTTATGAGCACTCAAAATTTATAAACATCTCCTTTTGCTGCGCTGGCAGGGGTACCGTCATTTTTGTTTCCTTAAGGGGGGACGCGGCTTTGGGATCGCGAAAATTGGCAAAAAAAATCTTTTTTTCTGAAAATCAAATTTTCAGTTTCTGGAACGTTTTTTTTTATTCCAAAATATCTACACTGAAAACCGTGCAGAAGTGCTTCAGAAAATTCATTTCACCCACCTCGGTAAAGGAACATTTACTGGAAATCGCGAGAAAACAGCGATTTTTAAAAAAATATGGCTTCGCGATGGCGGGGCCTGGAGCCGGCTTCTTGGGCTCACCGGAAAGAGCATTTCTCTGTGTTTAACTTTCCCGCCTCAGCTGGCCTCAGCCTTTAAGATCGTTTCGAGGCCTTTGATTGGCTGTGGCCACCATGTTGCCTCAGCTCGCCTCGCCATTGGCCCGATGCTCGCTCCGGGAGATCGTCGTCTGCTGCTTGTGCGTTGCAAGGACATGGCTTTCGAAAATTGCTGCTTCGCGACGTGTTCACGGCTCGATGATCACTTAAGATATAAATACGCTTTAGTTAGGAGCAGTAGGCGGACGCACGATCAGGTTACTACGAGCGTGGCGCGTCTTCAGAGTCGTCTTTAGCCCTCACTCCACTGACAGCGAGACTGCGGGCAGGAACGACGCGCTAGGGCACTCATGGCGACGTGCTTCGTCGCAAGCAACGAAGCTGTAAGGCACGGTCAGATTACTACGAGTGGCCGCACCGGATGGATGATAAGATTACTATGAGCGAGCGCGCGGTCTACGAGTGCGGCGCGTCATGGGAGTTGGCTTTAGCCCTAACTCCACTGACAGCAAGACTGCGGGCAGGAACGATGCGCTAGCGCATCCAAAACAACCCGGGGGTTTTGGATGCGCTGGACACTCTTCGCTCCTTCTTCGGCGGTTTTGGATGCGCTGGACACTCTTCGCTCCTTCTTCGGCGCACATGACGACGACGTAGCAGTGGACCACTTTTTCCAGTGCGAAGGGAGAGCTTTGAAGTTGTTGCATGGCAAGGGTCGGCAAAGTAAGTTGACCGATTTCTGGCTATAAATTTTCTTTCTGCTGGCCGTATGACTGTTTTTATGTCTCATACTCGCGGCAACGAAATTCTCTCGAAAACGAAATTTTTCGGTTTCCCCGGCGATTTCGTTATTGCGGGTTTCGACTGTATTCTTAGAATTCTAGTGTCACAAGTTTCAATATCCTATACTACTACTAGAGAAAGTCATGATTGAAGTTTTATTTTCAAGTTTTGCAGCCAATTTTTAATGTTTTCACGAACACTTGCTTCGACAAAATTTTCTGAAACCTTGTATGGCACCTACAGATGACAACGTGCATTACTTTCACCAATTGAGTTCTATATAGGAACCAGTAGATGCAGACAAAATCTGCTATGTCATGGTGTTCGATGCGGCAGTCTTAATGATTACATCTCCACGCGCATTTTGATTTCATGTGTTTGCTCACTTACGAAGCGTTATCTTGCTGTAAGAGTAGCGTTTTTGGAATTGTGGGGTTGTACTTTATTAATGCGCAAAAATTCTTTGTCTCTTTAGTGTCTCCTATAGCAAGATTCACTGGGTTACTTATAAACTGAAATAACATTTATAAGTAGCAGTAAATGACTGGTAGGGAGTTCTTTCAAAATTTAATTTATGAAGAATTTCTTTTGTTCATTGCAAAATACATATATATTTTTTAATTTTGCCTGTTTTGGCATGGGTTGAGGCCACTCTTTGTGGCCCCATAGCTGTACTGCTGTCCGGTGGAGGTTGCAAACAGCAAAGACATCTCTGTTGAAGATGCAGGTTTCAGCAGTGCCTCCTGCGCAGCCATCGAGTGGAGTAGCGACAGACTCTCAGCAGCAGCAGCAGCAGCATCAGCAGCAGCAGCAGCAGCAGCACCAGCAGCAGCAGCACCAGCAGCAGCAGCACCAGCAGCAGCAGCAGCAGCAGCAGCAGCAGCAGCAGCAACAACAGCCAGCAGCGCAGGTAGGAGGTCGTGTGCGCCCACCACCGCTGAGTGAGCTTCCTCAATTGGTGCAACTGGCCAGGGGCAGCCCCCAGAGCCCTGCCATCTTAGTGTCCCCTCCGCGATCGTTTACACCAGTCCCAGCGTGTGTCGCCAGTGGTGACGTGTTTGCGCCAAGCGCATTTGAGTTGTTGCCGCCACCTGCGCGTCGCAACTCGCGCCAGTTGGTGGCGTCTGCACGCTCACTATCGGCCAACGACCTGAGCACGGGCTGCGGCGCACTGGAGCCTCACCGAGAAGTAGGGACGTCGCTGGACGCGGATCGGCTCGAAGCGACGCTGCTGGGCCGGGAGATGGAGCAGTCGTTTCGAGCATCAGGCCGCCGAATCATGGCACAGGGTGTGACGACTATTGCCAGCGTGCGGGGAGGCAGCTTGGTGAGGAGCACCTTTTCGGCCGAGGCAGCCAGCCGCAAGCTTTCGGTGCCCGACCCGCCGCCGGTGTCAGCAGTGCCCCAGACCCGTCCGGCGTCGTGCCACCAGCTAAGCACCATCCTGGCAGGGAGTGCCAAGGTAGTGGCGGGGCTGCGGCGCGCCGGTGGCGGCTTCTTTTCTCCCGCACTGCACGGCTTTATGTCCAAGGACGAGAGCATGTCCCGCTTCTTCTCACTCTCTCTGGGAAGCTTCATTCAGCATGCGACGGCACTTCTCTGTCTTTCGTATTGCTGCTGCTGCTGTATGTCTCGTGGTGGAACGAGCCAAAGTAGTCTCGCACAAGTTTCCATATACGGTAGTCGCAAGCAAATGAAAAGCACCTGCTTGTCAAATGCAGCATAATCAGTGTCGTTGAGCGAGCAATGTTGGCTTCTCAAGATCGTTAAGTTTTCATTTAGAAGGCACCAATGAGGTGGTGTTGTGTTCTCAGAGCCTTTCTGCTTTTATTTACTGCACGTGGAAGTTTGATTCAAATGCGGCTTTTTTTAAGTGTTGCATTTTATGCCCATCCGGCTTTGTTGAGTGGTGACAAGTGGTGACAGCTATACCTGTTTGCTTCCCTCATCAATGTGACCTCGGATATACAGATATAGCAGTATGAATGCTGCGTGCTGACTGCACAGCTTTAAATGTGTGCCTGCACATGCTCTGAGGCAGGTTTGATGACTGCTCCATCACTGATGGTCTATAGTAGCCTCGCAAGTTTCATTGAGTAATCATGGGACACCTTAATTAAGCATGTCATGTTATTGTTGCTTTGCATTCTTGAGGTGTGGTTGGAGGAGCTGTGCACAAAAGGAGGACACAATACGAGATTGTGACAAGAGGAAACCATCCTCCCATCAGGAAAGAATAGGCTGACGATGGTTTTCTGGGAGTGTTACCTTGGCATGGCTGGAGTGACAAAAAAGGAACACAGCACTGTGCTTGCGTTTTGCCTTTCGCTATCTTAGTCATGCTGGCCAGATTCAAGGTGTGTGTGTTCTTTGTGATAAAAAAGTACTAGCATTAGGTAACTTTAAGCTTGCCGTATCTTTTTATTGAGTATGTGTGCTGCTTTGTCTTTCCTACTTGTGAATAAATTTCGTTTGTGTCAGCAGCCCTATTGTGACCTTTTCTTGTGCACAGTGTAGGGTAGATAGGCATGGCTACAGAAGCCAAAGGGGAAGAGACAATATGTATGTTGAAACACTTCTGATGTTGCTATTTAGAGAAGCCTGTCCTGAAATGCAGTGACTGTCCTTGAGGAAGTAGTCTTTCACAGGAACTTAGAAGTGAAAAACTGTCCTGCCTGCCTCTCGGCATGTTATGGCTGCAACTTAGAGCACTGTCACAAGGTATCCATCTAATGTGTTCTTCCAATGGCTGCCATGTGAGCACATCTAGAAAGCTTCATGAAAGTGCTGCAAGCAGTTGAGCTATATGATGTTGACAAGTGACAGTCTGTTCTTCCATGTTGGCCAGAGTTGAACAGCTGACCATCATGCAGAGCTCTGCCAACTCGATTTGCAAGTTGAAACAAAAATTGCCGTCTGTGGCTTTGTGCCACTATTGCAGCAGACTGTGCTGCAGGCGGTCTTGCCGAACCGCTGCATTATCACATTGGGCATTTTAGTGGGCTTTTCACCTTCCCGCATGTGAATCGTCTGTTTTTCCACTTGAGTCCACATGTGTTGCTGCTTTGATGTGCTGCTAACTTACTAACAAGCTTTCATGCTCTTTGTGTGCGCTTGGAATATGAATATGCTGTTGTTGTTTCAAAATTAGGCATGTACAGGGATGTAGGGCTCATACAAGTCACTTGTTCACTGAACAACTCTCTTACATGTCAAAAATTTCAAGACAAAAATGATAGCAGCAGGCACTGTACCGTGAAGATGAAACTCATCACGAAATCTCTAACAGCAACAAGTGCAAATTCGCAAGGTTCTTCTAAGCAGCTCTCATAGGGGAGCACTCGTAGAACAGTGCCCTTTCCGATGCCAATGCTTTTCGTGCATGGCCAGTGGTCAGGGCGACAGTCCATCCACATTTTCAACACGATCAGCCAGCTGTGAGTGTTGGACGATTGAAATAGCACCGAATAAGTTATATGGCATCGTTCTGCGATAGCATCTCTTGAACGGCCAGGACACTACCAAACGCTGCTGTCATCTCTTTCCAGCTGCTGTAGAGTTTGCTGACACGTTAGCCCGAGGATGATAAGCTTCGATCGTTTAGTGCAGTGGTTCTCAGCCATGGATGTGTCGGGGATCCCTTGTGGACTGGTGGAAGTGATGGGGGACTCCTTGCAGTGGAGGAGATGAGGGGTGGGGATATATAGGTAAATTAACACAACTGAAGCGTGAAACAGGTGCCCTATTAGGCTTGTGCAAATAGTGAATTTTAGGTTCAAAGCGAATAGTGATTTTGGTCAAATATTTTCGAATCAGATTTGAATAGTATATATGACATACAAAGAAAAATGGGCACATTTATCATGGCCCAACTAATCAGCACAATATATTTTTATATTGAAATGAGGCCTCTATGCAAACATATTTTTTCTTTTTCGTTCACCGAATGTCGAAAAAACTTTGAGTAGTAGCAGTATATGAGTTTCGGTAGGATGTGAGCTATAACCTGTAAAATAGGTAACATATTAAGTTTTATTGTACTTAGAGCATATAAGCTGCCATAACAAGCTTCTAAGCTTAATAAAATGGTGAATTGATTTGAGGGTAACATGTTCATTTAAAGGGGCCGTGACCGGTAAAGGGGCCGTGACCGGTAAAGGGGCCGTGACCGGTAACATGTTCATTTAAAGTAGCCATAGAGCCAGTAAAGAAGCTTGTTGCCTCGTAAATTTACCACCGCAAAATTTTAGAATCAGTTCACTACGAGTGGCAGAGTTCTGAAAATTAGTCGCACGCTGCAATTTAATTCTCTCTTTTTGTCCCGACGAAATAGCTGGAAGCTAAGCAGGGAGGAATGGCACGGCGAAAGAAAATACGTCACACGCACCTCGTGACCTTGAGCACCTCTTTTTTTTTTTTAGAATTCGCGCCCTTTCAATGTGATCGCGCCCGCTCGCATGGACGTGCACAGCCTTTCGATGTGGCTCTAGTGACGACTGCGTGTGCCATGTTCTAATCAGCCAATGGCTGATGCAATAGCTGTCACGAGTGATTTTTGAGCTTGTGGTGTGATTGAGAGAAAAGAGCAATTTTTAGCTGGCTTTGACAATTTACTGTGAATCGCAGGACATGTGCTGCGCTCCTATAGTTGGCCCACGTGTTCTTGGAAACCTCGACTACGGATCGGTACCGTTTCCCGACTATGCTTAAAAGTGTTCCACGGCACCTTTAAATTTGCAGGTCGTTAAAACAACCTCAGGTGGTCGAAATTTTCGGAGCCCTCCACCGCGGGGTCTCTCATAATCATATGATGGTTTTGGGACGTTGAACCCGACATATCATCAATAAATTTGCAGGGGGCTTCGCGGCAAAACCGATTTGCTCTATATGGGTGCTTGCACGGTTTAGCACTCTGTCACTGCAGCAAAACTTTCTTTACAAGCTGTTACATGCGGAATAATATTCATCTATTCGTAGATTGCGAATACTTTGAAATTTTCAATAATTTAAATTCAAATCAAAGCGAATTCAAATACTCTAATATTCGCACAAGCCTACCTTTTACTGCTACGAAAAACATCAAACTTCACTTCACTTCATTTTATTTTCCCTGAAGACCTCGCAAGAAGGTATTACATAAAGGATGGGGTTAACATAATAGTGGCTACATACAAAACAGTGGTTACATACATTTACAAGATGGTCGCAACGATGCACGTACAGGATAGTGGCTACAATACATTTATTGAGACATACCAAGTTTTATTTTTTTCAGAAAAAGAGGATAAGCAAATGGTTTCGACGATATCGTGGGGCAGGCCGTTTCAGTCAGCTGATGATCGACAAAAGAAAGATTCAGAAAAAGTCGCAGTGTGGCTGCGGGGATGAGTAACTTGTAAATGGTGCCCCGTGCGCAGAGATGTGCATGGTGGCGGGGCCAGAATATATTTATTTATTTATTTATTTATTTATTTATTTATTTATTTTAACATACTGCAGCCCCTCTTGGGGCTATAGCAGGAGTGGGTACATCGCACAAAACCGTGCATCGAACAAGTTCAATAATGAAACAAAGCAAAAAGAAAGAAAGAAAACATAGTAACGACGAAACCAGGTATTCGAAAGTCAACATAGAAGGAAGTGTACAGTTTTAGCGGCATGGTAAAGGGTTACATAAAATCGACCTAATACACACATCTAAGTACAAAAGTGCACTCGTACAAAGGGGGAAAGGAAACAAAGCGGTATATGTACGTAGTTTACAATAGTTGTATTTTAGAAGCAAATGTAAGCAAGTCAAGAGAGCGCACGTGGCCAGGCAACAAATTCCAACGCTCAATTGTTCGCGGAAAAAAGCTATATTTGAACGTGTCTGTGCGGGGATGATACGGGGAAACGTTAAGGGTGTGATTGCTTCTGGTCTGAGTGGGGCTTGCATATGTGACATATTTGTTTGATGATAGGCGATATGAACAGTGAATGATGCGGTGAAAAAAGGTTAGTGATTCAATTTCACGACGGGCAGCTAAGGTGGTTAGCTCTAGAGATACGAGGGCTGCGGTTGGTGAAAAAGCACAGTCATACCTGCGACAGATGAATCGGATGGCTTTCTTTTGAACGGCTTCAATTTTGTTAATTTCGCCTTTTCGGTAAGGGTTCCACACGGAGCATGCGTAGTCGAGTGTCGGTCGGATTAGTGTTTTATACATCAGGAGTTTGGTGTCTTTCGGTGCTTGGCTGAGTGTGCGTCGAAGATAACCCAGTTTCTTAAGTGACTTTGTGCATACATATTCGATGTGTTTTGACCAGGATAGGTTACTTGTGAAAATAATGCCAAGATACTTATATTCTGTAACTCTTTGGAGGTTTATGTCAGCGGATGAGTACGTGAAATTAGACAGGGAACGCTTGTGAGTAAAGGACATGGATACTGTTTTGCGGAAATTTACGGACATCTGCCAC